ACGTAAATGTATCATTAATTTATATATAATATATAGTTAATATTTATATTATATATTCATATAATATTGTTATTAATTGTTGAGTCCATTCCCACTTATCGTATAACGGTGTCTATAGGTTCGTGGTATAAATTCTCAATATCTTAAAATATCATTATAATAACAATACACATAAAAGTTATAAATCAAGTTCCCTTGAATAATTTTCTTAAATTACGACAAAATAACTAAAATTGTTATTTCTTATTTCAATATATAATTTCATCAGAATTTTAACTTCAAATGTTAATCAAAAACATTTTTTTAATACATTATTATTTAGATTTTTTGGTTTACCTACTGGTAAACCAACTGATAAGGAGCTTTTAATTACATTTTCAAGCTTATTGACTAAATCAAAAATTATTTAGTGGTATTCATAAAAAAAAAATCGAAAATGTTTATAAATAGCACAAAAAGAGTTGAAATATTTTTAAAATTATACCATGTATAGAAAATACTAATATAAACATTTTATGGGAATTTAAACTCTTAAGTATCTAAAGTTAATTATTTTTAAATTACAATAATATAAAGAAACTTGATTTTGTTAAAAACTGGTTTCATTAAAGTAAAAAATCTAAGCATTTTTACTGTCCAAAAATAATTATTACAGGCACAAAAAAAAAAAAAAAACACTTATTGTAAATTCAATAAAATCATCACACCGTTCAGAATCTAAAATTGTAAATATTTAGTGTCTTATGAGTTGGGTATTCAATTAATGATTAAAACACTATTCAATATTGACATGAGTAACTTTCACTATACTAACTAACAATGCGTCTTATGTCTACAGCTGTCAAATACGTCTAAAATACTAATGTAATTATTATAAATTATTATATTTTTTATGACGGATTTTCAAATGTTGTTGGCAATTAATTCGTAACAAAAAAATTTATTCAGCTTAACCTTGCTTGTTATCGTAAAAATAAAAGGCACAAAATATAATTGTGCTCATTCTTTGTACTGACTGGTCGAAAAGACCTAGGACACCAAGAATACCATCGTTTATTCGTTTAGTCGACAGGAATTCGAAGATGAGAAGAGGGTTCAGTGTAGTGATAAACGAACGTCTGCGGAACGGTGTGTGCGTGACGCGCCTTCCCGATCATGATATCCGAGTAGGTTAGGGGTGGTTGTACAATGGTATATTGTATAGTTAGTCGTGTGGTGGAAGAGGGATTTGACCCAGATACTTCCCTAGGCTCTTTAAACTTAACACAGAGGGGTTGGCCATGTGCACAATCCATACACACACACAAACACGTGTATTTGTTTCTTTGTGTGCGCTGTAAGCTTTTGCCCTAAAATGCAATCGATTCGGGTGTATCTACCAGCTAATACCCTTACCGCCCCACTATGCCAAACTTGTTAAAAACACATTCATTGTATAGTCGGATAGTCGGATACAATTATAGGATCAAAGTTCAAAGATAATTATTTTATTATAAACACAATATACTATATAATAATTTAAATTTTTTAGATTTGTGTGTTAAATGTGTATGTGTGTGTGTGTGGTGTAAAAATGTGTAAATACCTACCTCGTATATCTGCCTAGTACATAGGCATTAGGCACTATATAATAATTCGGATGTCTCATCGTATTATATGGGTAGGTGTGTGTAAAACATACTTAAGAATTAAGATAATTAATATTGTATAGCAAAGTATATACTCTAAAATATGGTTTGTCTATTCATTGTTATTAAATAATATTGTTCAGACTAGACACTTGTGTCTGCAGACATCAAACGTATGTAATTATATATTAAGCATACCAACTGGCAACTACCGAGTATTTGTTACAATAAATTACTTACAAAATATTATATACAGGTATTATCTTAAAACGATAACAAAATATTGTATCATAAATTATATTGATTATTCAAATTCACTGAGCAATTAATAAATTTTACTTTAAATATCCTTATTATTTGAAAACTTACAAAATGTATCACATTGCGTGTTATAATATTGTTAAACTATTGATTTCTATTATTGTTATTGTTATGGTTTTTTTAAAATATTCTACGGATATATCTATAATTGCGTGTACTTTTCTAGAAATTGTGTTCATCTAATAATATACTTGTATAATGTATAATACAAATATATAATTCAGTAAATAATAAATATTTTTTATAAAAGTAATATTATGCTGGACTTTTAAAATTTGAGTATAATTTATAAAAAAAATAAGTAATCATTTTCACCTATTAAATTGCAATTATTGGCTTTAGTTAGTATGTTTTCATAATTTAATATTCCTGAAATTAACAATTTAAATGAAAAAAAAGATGGATAATAAGTAATCGCTAAAATCACACACAAAGATAGTAACAACAATAAGTTATGATAGAACAATAATTTGTTATCTTGTGTCTCTTCTCTATATTAGATAATTATATCTATTATATTCACCGGTAGAAATGTAGTTATGTTTAATTTTAAATTTTGATAACATATGTTCTTTTTTTCATAGAAATTTACATACTATAGAAAAGCGTAAAATTTAAACAATAATAAATTATTTATTTGATTATTTTTTTTTAAATAATTCATGCACTTATGTGTATGTGTTTTTTTTAATTTTTAGGTTTATAACATTTAAGGTTTAATATTTTTGTAAAATTATGACATTAAAATAACCTATTACTAAGTACTTACTATACGTACTTAAATATATTAGGTATATTTGATTTCAGAAATCGAGCACCAAACTTTAATGTAACTGTAAAAACAGTACCTATATTTATAAAGGGTACATAATTTAATTTCAAATATTTTTGATAAAATCATCGTGATTACGTCAGTTTAGCTTAGATAGAGGTCACTTATAGACACGTGAAACGAACATGCCTACCTAAATATAATAATATTATCGTCAATAAAATAGTATAAAATATTGATACAGTGCAAGTGTATACATTAAAGTATTGAATGGTCGTTGTCAAATACCCAAAACCATTTTTTACTCCCAACCGTTTAAAACATTTATTTAAAATCATAACTCAAGCGTTAAATGTACAATTTCAAATTTGTGTACGCGTTTAAATATATATTCGTATACGCAGATATAATAAAATATGTTAAATTAACTTTTTTTGGTCATATTGGCCAATTCTTATTTCAAAAATACATTTACAAAAATAATTTTTGTTAATCCTCTATAATTTAGGTATATACGTAATAATATATTTCATGTAAAAAATAAAAAAATTTAATATATGCATTTTGTATAAGCATATATTTCATATTTTGTATCATCATATTATATTATTAATAACGTTCAGTACTAAAATACTATTATAATTCTATTTTAAATTTTAATATCAGAAAGATTACAACTATTGTTTTATACTTTTTTTCTTTTTAACAAAAACAAAAGTTATTTAAGTTAAATAATTTCGAATAATTGCTAGAATTTAAGTTTTTTTTAAATATTCCTTTGCATTGTTTTATGAAGTTATTGATTATGTTTTAAACACATAATACTATTTTTTGTCTATTATTTAAATTATTTAAATTTATATCTTCATAAAAAAAAAAACATTTTTATTCGAATTCAATATTCACATGTGTTAACAACTTTGTCTTTTAGTACTAAGACTATGTAAAATAATATCATGTAAAAAATATTAACTATTTTTTATTTTTTTAAATATTCGTTGACTGCTGAATTTAAAAGATTTAAAAAGATTTCAAACAAAAATAATGTTCAAAAAATATGAATAAAATTATAGTAAAAATACATTATAAAATATATATCATTGGTTCCCACCCTCTTCTATTCTAAGTCTCCTTTGTAGATTTCCAAAAATCTCATGCCCCTCCTATAAATTAAAAAAATTGATTACCTTTTTTCGTATACTTTACAAATAAACTATACAATATTTGGAATGACTATTTTTTTTGTTGATAATAATTTATCGGTTATTCGTTATTAATACCCGATAACGCAGCGATTCCCAAACTGTGCTCCACGGAGCCCTTGGGGCTCCGCAATGGTTTCCCAAGGGCTCCGTTCATTATTACACAAAAATTTAATAATTTTAAAATTGTTTAAATTATTTAAAACGAATATATATATGAACGTTAAATATTTCTTGGGGCTCCACGAGAAACTTCTTCTTAAAAAAAAGACTCCGAGGTTGAAAAAGTTTGGGAACCGCTGCGATAACGGATAAAAGAAACCAGTTAATTAGTTTTATCTTCTCTACGTTTTAAAATAAAAATTGTATTTCATAGTAATTGCTTATGATTCCCCAGCAATGTGTATACGTCCTCTAGTTTGGGAACCAGTGGTATATATGAATATGGTAGATAATATATATCACATCTACCATACGATATGATGTACTGGTATGAAATTTATTAAATAAAATATCATAATATTATCATTTAAAGATAAACTCGTTAAAATACAATTTTAATGATTTCTCTACTTTTCGCGAAATAAAGTCACAACTGGGAAGTACCTTTGTTTTAGGTTTGATATTTAATTTTTATTTAAAATTTATACTTACAACTTACAAGTAGTACTATTGAGTAAATATACTTTAAAACTTCACTTAAAGATTGAAAATTTTTGATACAATCTTGTTCAAACTTATTTTAATTATTCTATTTACTTTAATTTAGTAACAATTTATAAAAATTAAAAAATTAATAAAAAAAAATAAAAAAATGAAACACAAATCATACAATTCAAATTAATTTGTTAATAAAATAAATATTTTAACTAACTATTGAACTTATTCAATAATGTTTAACCAGTTTATTATTAATTGTATGTTTTTTAAATCTACGTAGGTACTTTAGATATACGAATTAAAATGTTTGATCAATTAAATATTAAAACAATATAATATGTAATAATGTACTGCTACTAAAACACTAAAACAACTTAAGATAATAACTTAATTTAATTAAAAAAATGTTTGTTTCAGGAAACTACTTTTGGGAATTAAAACCATTGAGGCCAATATCTTCGAGGACGAAATTCATAATTAATAGTTTAACTTAATTCGACCAGCATATACTCGGTAAGTAAATACAAAATAACTACATTGCTTATACAGTTTTACATTTATTTTTTTAATTTTAGTAGGCCATAGCTAAAAAATATAATACTAGTAATACTACATATTATTTATAAAATTAGAAAATATATTTTATACACTTTATAAATACGACACAACATTCAGTTAAAAGTAACATGAGAAACAATAAAAAATAAGAATGTCATAATAATATTACATATAATTGTCTTTGAAATATAAGTTTCTCTAAAACCTAAACTTATCTACAGAAATGTCTAAGTTTCTCTCATTTTCAATAATATTTCCTGTAGTGTATTGTCATAAACAGTGTATCACACAGCATATGTTAAATCACGTATCACTGCCAATTTCGCTTTACAATTATCTTTTGTCACCGTTGCATACATTAAATTTACCGACTTATTGCTTTCTCTATCTATATTCTATACCTATATATATTCAATATTCATACAAATAAACGCTTTCAAAACGTTATCACCAGTTTAGCTGATTAGTAACTAATTTGTTTTACAATTTCATATTATTTTTTTAGTTTCTAAGTAATAAAAGTATTAAATTTGTTGAGTTTTTATATTTACTCTTAGTTTTTAATAGTCTTTTGGAAATCGATGTATAATTAATTATTGAATTCAAAAGAATAATTTAAACTCGTACTGAATAGCTAACTACAGTATATATTAGCAACTGCGTAGTTAAATCACAAATAGTATATGCCTTGTCAATCACACAAAATACTTGTGATAAAAACAAAATCAATTTTATAAATATTACGACTACAAAGATTTTTAAACTTATTTCAAAATATTTACAGAATTATCTATACTTTCATGAGTTATATTATTTTAAAAAATAATAATAAATTTAATATACTTATTAAAATAAATTTAAATTTTAGAAACAGATCGGCACTTTTTTGTTTCTATGACTAATTGTTTAGTATTTTCTACAGAATAAATTGATTTATAGACTAGACAGATAGTGATATAATTTAAATTTTATTTTTTATCGTTTTATTGGATGTCACTTGACTTTTGTATTTTTTTTTTTTTTTTTTGATAACGTATTCCAAGGACGAGTAATTAAAGTGTATTAATGTTATTTAAGGGTATAAACAAACTATGCTTTATAGTAAAAGAAGAATTATACTTTTTAACACGTTGATTCTCACAAAACGTTATAATTCTGGAATCAATTAATAAATACTTTATCTCAGAATACTTAAAAAGATAAGTTAAAATATTATACTAATATTTTAATATATTGAGTATCTATACGGATTTTATATCATTTTATTAAAACATAACTACCTAAAGCAATTCTGACACCATATTGCCACTGACATTTCAAATCAGTTCAAAACAATTATTCGACGGATTTTAATGTTCTGATCGATTATGAATAAAATAATTTAAATTAATATGACATTTATCGTAACGTATATTATGATGTTATTTATAAAAGTGGCGTTTCAATAAATTCTATTGTTTTATTCATTTTTTGTTAGATATAATATACAAATACATATAAAAAATTGTGATTTATTTTTAATTTATTGTAAATCATTTAAGCAGAATATCAACTTATATTTAATAAACAAGATAAAATTGTTTATTTTTTATTTCTGTATACATAAAATAGTTAATAGACAATAGTGTATTAATACAGCTTGTTGCTTTATTTTGAAAGTACCAAAATGGCCCAAATCAAAGCATAATGTCAAGTTTTGTTTTCGTTAAGACTTCGAACCATTTCTAATTTAACAAACCTTGTCCTATAGATCACTTTATTATGATTTCAACGGGTGAAAGACCTCGACATAAATCAATAAAGTGCGCGAGACTTTTTAATATTATAACTACTGTATGTATGCACCTGCGGGTCAACGAGTTACCGTGAACGACTGTTTACTATCATTTCATTTAGATCATGAGTATTGGACGATGTTTTTTTCTTTATCTACCTATCTGCCTCTCACTCTTTTTTGTACATATACTATTTCATTCTTTTTAGACTAGTAAAACGATTGTTTTATTTGTACCTGTTCACATAAATGATTGCAACAACCGAATATATTTGATTTAAGAACTTTTTAAAGTTATTTTTATTAATCAAACATAATATTACGAGTATCATTATGATATTGACTCACAATTTACATACACGCTAGACCACGTGTTTAAATTACCATATCTAATTATTATTTCTAAGCCACTACCGATAACCGAATGGTTTTTTACATTGTAGATACAACATTGAAAGAGTTGGTTAATGTGTGTGATATTCATTTTTCAATGTGACTGACCTTTCCAAAAGGATTAAAGGTTGCTCCATACCATAAGACACAAAGTGTATGCAACAATCATAAAAATAATCTAACATATAACTTCCTATAATAAACTTCAAAAAAATACGTAAATTATTTATTTTTATATAAAAAAAATAAATAATTTTTCTTCTAAAAAACTGCATGTAAAATAAATTATAATTTGTATCTAATTGATATATAAATTTGAATGTTAAAAAAAAAAAATAGACAGGATGCTTCATTTAAATTTAAACAATGTTCACTTATAGCTTACTAATATTACATAATATTCAAATGTGACATGAGTTTTTTATCTGAACTTATGAAGGTGAAGAATTTGTATCTTATACAAAGGTATACGTTAGGTAGGTACACATACGATATACATATATTATGATATTCCATGATAAATGTTGTCAATGAACCTTATACTCGCGTATAAGATTATAAGCAGAAAAAAAAACTGAACTGTTTTATAATTTATATTGTAGTTATTCAATGTAAATAGGTATCTGTATTAACTACCAGCTGCAATGTTAAATGATAAAAAAAATAGTTAATTTTGAAGATAATTTTTGATTGAACTTCAGAAACATACTTATAGTCTTGTTGATTTTATAAAATTTATTATAGGTAGGTATATAATGTATTTATGTAGCTCTTATTTATTTATACCTACGGGCTACGTATAGTATTTAGTATATTTGTAGTAGTTCGAAGTTAACATAAAATACTTTAATTTGCCCTTTTATAAGAATAGATATCTTAAGAAGTGATTAAATTATTATAAATAATTCTTTTATATTATTACATTATTATTTATTATTATGCGTTGATAATTCTCTATAGACACTTTAGAACTAAGATCTATAGAAAAATTAAAGTTTATTTATATTTTATTAAGTAATAAATTATGCAAATATTTTCAATTATATTTTGAATTTTTAAGCAGTTGATTTTATATCATAAAAATATGCATTTATAAACAAGAAACAATATCAATATTTAGAATGTAATAATATATGAGGTCAAACATCGAACAATTGAAATATAATTTTCGAAGAAACAAATAGTGTATTTAATTTGTTGCTAATGATAAAGTAATCAAATCATAAATACCAATATATAATTAGGATAAGCTTAATCAGCCTGTTATGGTTAAATAAACGTAGAGACTTCTTAATAAATTAATTTTCCATCCAATTTGAATTAATAATTCATAATATATATTATTATGTTATGATTTGATAACTACATACCATTTTTCTTCAATGTGTAATATTACTTTTAACTTATAATTAAGCAAAGGTTTCATGAAAAAAAAAAAAATTAAAAAAATAATACAAAATTAGTGGTGCACAGATCGAAAAATGTAGCGACCGCCTCTTTAACCGGTCAATGGTCTTGCATGCATAAAAAATTGGTCACGTAAACGCAATCGTTGTTTATGATTAACTGATAGGTGAAAAATGTTGGGTCGTATGTGATTGCAGAACAAAACAAGAAGTCACACGCGAGTGTCATTCACAAGGTTAATTGAATTTTATTTTGAAACCAAACCAAGTAAATCGTAAGACATCACGATTATTACTTAAATTAATGTCCACTAATAATTTATACAATGAAAACTATAGAAGTATTGTTTTTTGAAAACATGTGTATAGCAAACAAACGGAACTAAATTCTTCGCCTTGACTTAAATTCGACACACCAAAACGTTAATGCATTTATTGTAAAAAAAAAAAAATTAATTTTTCGTCCGCTATTTGGAAACTATTCATTATATATAAGTATAATGTTCATAACTATAAATAATAATTTATTTTCCTATCATTTTATAAGTGCGGTTAATATTATCAACAAAACGGTTTTAATAATCGCGGAATAATGTATAAAATAAAACATTGCAATGATCATCATTTATCATTAGTTATTAATCATTCAATGATTTAAAAAAAAAAATAGCAATATAATAATTATAATATCTATAATACAGCAAATATTATTACAACAAGTATTGTATAGTGGTTTCAATTTTCTAATTTTTTTTTTTTTACAGTTTATTAACATAAAATATATCTTTTAATTTGAAGGCTTTGTAAATAAACTTGGTATGATAAAATACAATTATTTTATAATGATTAATATTCTCCTGATTTTAATTTATATCGTTCTTATCGATATCTATTAAAATAATAAGCAACTTTATCAAAATTTTAAATCACATAAATAATTATACGAAATAATATCTATAGTATAATATATTGACTATATACATAACGTTCCAATAAAGAGTTGAGACATCTGTGTATATTTTTTTTAATACGATCAACACGTGGGTAAATAATGCAATAACGTTATTATTTTTAATATGGGTTATACAAGTAGTTTTACTTTTTTTAACGATCGTGTATGATATGGATATTTATAATACACTACCCTTCAATATAAAACAATTTGTATCAATAAACATATTATTTTTGAATTTTTCATTATATGTATAATACCTATACATAGTCGTTAGTCGATATTTCCGCAGTAAGATAATAAAATATGAAATTTGTCATAGCATAAAATGCGTATACACCATATGTATATATTATATAATGTTGTTTTATTATAAATATAAAAATTGTGTAGGAGACCATATTATGTAGTCGTAGTCTATTTTTGTCGG